TATGATCCTGTGTCAATTTCTATATAGTATGTATATCTGCTTTTTTCCTAATGCTGATAAACCAGTAAATTTACTGTATCTGAGATACATTTGTAGAGTAACCGGTAGCTTAGCTTTGCTAACTATTTTAAATATCACAGTCCTGTAATGATTTTACATTAACACCCCACACCATTAAACACCCGTCAGCCACTCACACTCCACGTGTAATTGCTTTTTCCTCTCATAACACACACACACACACACACACACACACACACACACACTCACACAAACACTCACACACAGACACGATCAGTACAAAATCAATTAAGCAGAAGGTTTTCACTCCCCACAGAGAGCGAGGCATGGGGGGGGGGCTGGGTGGGGCTAGAGGGGGGTGTAGAGACCCTACAGCAAGGAAATTCACATACACAGCTGGAGGACAGCACACTCAGACAGGTTACACATACAGCAGAACCTGGGGAACAGTTTAGAATGAACTGCTGACACGTTATAGTGTCAACAGCACTGACATAACAGGAGAACGATATAGAACTGATTAACTGTAACTGTGTATAACAATACTGTTGATCATTCTCCCTCTCTCTCTCTCTCTCTCTCTCTTTCTTACTCTCTCTCTCTTTCTTACCGAGCTGTAATACAGTCAGGGATGATGCTGTGATCATCCACTGAGATCTACAGGTTTATTATACATTTATTACACATGCTATTAATTAATTACTTTATTGTTTTGTATTGATGTAAGAGATTTTAGATGTTCTTATTACACCATGAGAGAGAGAGAAATAAAAGAAAGTGAAAGAGAGAGAGAAAGACAAAAAGTGAAAAGAAAGAGGAGAGAGTGAGGAGAAAGTGAAAAGTGAGAGAGAAAATTAGTGAGAGAGAACGAAAAGAGAGTGCAAAGAAAGATGAAAGAATGTATGTCAGACAGACAGACGGGTGTGGCAGCAGACAGGGCGGGTGCTGTGTGTGTGTGCTGTGTGTGTGTGTGTGTGTGTGTGTGAGGTGTGTGTGGGGGCGGTTGGGGGTGTTTTGTGTTTTGACTGCAGTAAAAACACACTCAAAGTGTGTGTGTGTGTGTGTGTGTGTGTGTATGTTAACCTGGTGTTTGCAAACATACAAGAAACACATCACATTCAGTTAATGAGAGCGGTTACCATGGTTACGGCATCCCGCTGAGACACAGTCTACAGCACAGAGAGAGAGAGAGAGACAGAGAGAGAGAGAGGGCAGTCAGGGAACTGTGTGTATATATGTGCCTGAGCATTATTACAATAAATATATTACAATACCAACTCATATTAACATTTAAATAAATAAATTATATTAATAGAACAGTCTGATTTATTGTAATAATAATTTGTAATAAAAGTATTATAACACAGGTACATATGGGGTATCTGTCGAGCACATGGCTGATGGACTGGAGGAGAACCACATTCTTTGAAGTGATGAATCAGCTCCACCCTCTGACGGTCTGACAGGAGAACCTGTGTTTGGTGATGCAGGGGAACACGAGCTCCTTGAGTGCAGAGTTCTGTAAAGTTTGATGGAGGTGGAAGGATGGGCCTGGCTGATCTTTAGGATTCCAGTGCAGGGAAATCTTAATGCTGCAGCGTACAGTCACAATCTAGAGAACTGTGTTCTTCCAGCTCAGGGAAGACCCAAGACCCTTCCCTATTCCAGCAGGACAATGATCCTGCCCCCCCCCCCACCACCACCACCAAAACAAGAAATGGTTTGGTGAGTTTGGTGTGGAAGAACTTAACTGACCTTCACATAGTAGATAAGCAATGAGCTTCAATGAATCTGGATTTGAGTGTCTGTTTTTCTCTAACAAACAGCATTCAGGGGGTCCAAGAAATTAATTAGGAGGTCCTGGACACCCCTATATTTTGCACTTTGAATGTAATGCTTATGTCTGATGATCCCATGTTTGGTAAAGTGATGCCATTTGTAAGAGTGTATTAATGAATTACATGACATTTCTCTGAACACAAAGAAAACAGAGGGATCATTTCACAAGCACAGGAATGGGCAAGCTGGCACATAAAGAAAGCCCCCTCTCTCTCTTTCTCTCTAACACCTTTTATATTTTGTACGCTCTGGGATGATCAGTGTGCGTGTGGTTTGTTGTTTGTACGTTAATAAACCCACTGATAGTGTGAAACAGCTCTGTCGTTAATTACAGACTAATATCACAAACATCAAACCCACATCAGAGATTCTCCCGACCATAAACAGCAGCTGCCACTCAGCGGGAGCTGCTTTGTTAAAAACATGCAGGAAGTCATGAATTATGTGTGTTTATGATGAGGTGGAGTGCTCACACTCAGGATCTGTGCAGTAAAGAGAGAAACACCTGCAGGCAGAAGCTCTGCAGCATGAACACGGCCTTCACTACTTCAACTCTGAGTTCAATGCTGTTCAATTCAGATTTATTTGTGCAGAGCTTTTTAGAACAGGTCCAAGATCTTCTGAGTAGAACAAAGACTTAAAAGGAGAGACTACAAAAAAGCATGAGGAGAACCACTAATAGGAACTGTGTCACAAACAAAGAAAGTCACTAAGACCATGAGAAGAAAGCACTGAGAGGAACCAAGACTTAAAAGGAGAACCTCCCGAAGAGCATGAGGAAGAACCACTGAGAGGAACCAAGACTTAAAAGAACAACCTCTATAAGTGCAAGAGGAAGAACCACTGAGAGTAAACAAGACTCAAATGGAGAACCTCCCGAAGTGCATGAGTAAGAACCACTGAGAGGAACCAAGACTCAAATGGAGAACCTCCTGATGAGCATGAGGAAGAACCACTGAGAGGAACCATGACTCAATCAGAGAAATTCCTACATTTCTCCTGAAAAGAATGGAAGCTGTCACAAGGGTTCAGAGTGACATTGAACACTCAAACAGCTGAGATTAGATTTGACTGTTGTGCAATTTTCTGTGAAATACGAGTTTTCTGCTTTTTTCAGATGCTCAAAAATTAAAAAAAAAAAGCTTATTCTTATTAGCCGTTTGACTGGAAATTAAATAATGAAGGGGGTCTCTGACTTTTGCACAGCTCAGTCCAACATAATATATACAGTTTTGTCCTTGGCCATGAAAACAGAACAGAATTAAATTTTTGTCTCATTTATGTTTCTTTTCTGCCACTGTGTTGGACTTTTTCCATCCTGCAGGATTCCTGATGTCCACCTTTTCCACTCCTGCTCCATGAAGCGCAGAAATCAATTATCGTTGCTGTCTAAGAGCAGGCAGGTCATCTCGCTGCCCATACATCCCTCTGCTGCTTCTTATCTGCCTGCTTCTGCTCTTTTCTTATCTGCTCTTTCTATTCACTGTATATTTTTGTCCTCAGGATTCGGGGCGACTTACCCCTCCACTTGTCCCTCCGCCTCTCCATTCCAGCCTGTGTGTGTGTGTGTGTGTGTGTATTCGTTCGATTAAACACTTTTATTATTCTGTCCACATCAGCGGCTCTGCAGCAGCTTTCACCCTTAAATTAGATAATCATACAGCAGGAGAGACACACTTCAGCAGAGCTGCTGCTGAAACAGTAACCGTGGCAACTCTTCTAGCCATCAATGTCCAAACCCAAAATATCACCCACCCCTCAGCCTGTCTTTCTCTTGCTTAAAGACACATATCCAGTGATTAGTTCAATACACTCCATCAATAAATGCTCAGATACTGTAGAATAGGAGATATTAGTCCTTAAATTACTTCAATAAATACTCATATATGCTATTAAAGGAGATGCCAATCCATAAATGATCTTAATAAGTGCTCCTTTATGCCACAAAGGCGATATTAGTCCATAAGCAACCTTAATAAGCGCCCCTCTATAGTATAAAAGGAGATATTAGTCCATAAACTAACTTAATAAACACTCCTCTATGGTATAAAAGGAGATATTAGTCTATAAACAAAATTAATAAGCACACTTCTTTGGTATAAAAGGAGATATCAGTCCATAAATAACCTCAAAAAATGCTCCTACAGACTATAAAAGGAGATATCTGTCCCTAAATGACCTCAACAAAGGTTCCTCTGTGCTAGAACAGGAGATATTAGTCCATAAGGGACATTAATAAATGCTCCTACAGCTAATATTGGATATATTAGTCCATAAATGACATTAAGAAACACTCCTGTGCACTAGAGTAGAAGATATTTGTCCATAAACAACTTCAAAAAACACTCCTATACGGTAGAATAGGAGATATTTTACCAAAAACAACCTTGAAAAACGCTCCTATACACTAGAATAGGAGATATTAGTCCATAAACAACTCAATAAATGCTCATATATGCTACAAAGAGATATTAGTCCATAAACAACCTCAATAAATGCTCCTATATGCTTGAATAGGAGATATTAATCCCTAAACAACCTCAATAAATGCTCCTATATGGTAGAATAGGAGATATTAGTCCATAAACAACCTCAATAAACACTCCTGCATGCTACAATAGGAGATATTAGTCCATAAACTACCTCAATAAATGCTCCTCTATGCTAAAATAGGAGACATTAGTCCATAAACAACCTCAATAAATGCTCCTATACGCTAGAATATGAGATATTGGTCCATGAACAAACTCAATAAACACTCCTATGCTAGAATAGGAGATACTAGTTCAAAAACAACCTCAAGAAAAGCTCCTATACACTAAAATAGGAAATATTAGCCATAATTGACCTCAATATATGCTCCCACATACCAGAATAATAGATATGAATCCATAAACAACTCTAATAGACATTCCTATATGCTAGAATAGACCATAGACAACCTCAATAAACATTCCTACATGCTAGAATAGGAGATATTAGTTCATAAAGAACGTCAATAAACACTCCTATACTCTAGAATCTCCAAGTGAAATGTTGCTGAGAGTGATGTTTGCACTTGTGATCATCTCACTCAAACAGCTATAATGTGGTCCAAACACTGGAAGACAGAAGACTGAAGATAGAGAAGCATCTCTTACCTGGAACATGACTCTGCAGTGCTCCTCAGGCTTCTGCACTACACACATGTTACACCCCATCCTGAAAGTTCACCTTCAGCCTCACACAGTCCAAACGTCTCCCTGTGTCTCTCTGTCTGCCCTCCTCTCTCACAGGGCTGATTATAGGGGTTAATTCCGTGGATAAAAACCAACAATCAAAAATCTCCACAAGCACAAAATGAGGTCACAATGTCTCAGGAGAATCCATCTCAGCACTAAAGCTTCTCATAGGTCTGGAATTACATCATCTGTTCAGTCCGGCATCCAGCCAAAGGAGCTCCAACCTGCAGGAAAGTTCACCTGCAGCTGAAGTTTGTAAATCCATCTGATTTTTGTTCTGGAGCAGTTTGGTACAGTCTGCAGTTATGTTCACAGTTTGCTTATCTTCTTCTGCTTCTCACGTCCAGCTGATGTATATGTGGTTTACGCTGCAGGTAAGAAAACGTTCAGAATGTTCCTGAGCCTGTTTGAGAATGTGGATGGAGGAGCAGCTCTGGTAACTCTGGTGGACTTAGGAATGATTCCAGACTTGTCGAAGCATTTGGTCTCCAAAAGATCTCAGCACTGCTTAAACTGTCAAAACCTGTTCTCCTAAAGAAAGTCTCGTGTGGTGATGTTGCTCATTTTTCACTTTATTTTGTTTTTAGTTTTACGGAATATTTTTAGTTTACCGATCTTTTATGATTTTGTTTTTATATGTGCTTAATCTTTGAGCTGGATTTTAATATCCTAAAGGTGCTGTATAAATAAATAATTAACTAATTAATTATGCAGCAAGTAAAGGCCACATTTCATGCACATAATCCCCTTAAAGTGAACATTTTTCCCACTTTTCACATTCTGATCTTCTCTTGAGCAAATTAAAAATCTGTTCTCTCAGTCATCCTTTAAATCCCCGTCTTATGTCCTAAGCAGGTCTGGCACTAGAACTAAATCATGATTGGACCATCCGAAAAACCAGAACAAATCAACAGGAGAGCCACATTAACACCAAATTACAAAAAAAAACCCCACCCCTTTAGGACCTCCTTCGACTGATTTTGCTTGAGGCTTGTAGTAGAAGTTTGGACCTGCCAGCACCTCCTGGCCAATTAAAGGGTTATTTTTAAGGGGTTAATTTCTCCTAATTAACACTCACACTAGTTGAGTCCAAAGACTCCTTTTTCTACCTTCCCTTTATCTCTCTATCTCTACCTTTCTGTTTCTCTTTCCAATGTCTTTTTTCTCAGTGTCTGGACTTTCTCAGTGTCTGGACTAATGCACCCAAATAAGCAGAATAAATCATAAACTTAACGTGAGCTGCTGATTCACTGTCTGTCTGTGGTCATCACCTTTCCAGGCTACAAATAACAGACAAACATGTTGTTTACTGCACTAACTGTGCTAAAGCTAAGTTTCAAGTGCAGTTAGCTTATTAGCTTAGCTCGTCTTTCACAGTTCTAATCGGATTAGAGATGATTTGTAATGAAGTTTGTGCTTCGTTGGTTATTATTGATCTGTTTCAGAAGCTGTGGATCATAATTAAATTACACCATTAGCACTGACTAGGATGTTCATGCTCTGCTGAAACAGATCAATAACTAATTCAATACACGTTCAATAAGCAGCATGTAGCCCCATGTGTGCATAGATCGAATACTTGCGTCAAAATAAACCGAAAATGTCGCCTCCACATGAAATAAGTTGCGATTTGTTGTTTTGTTTGTGCTCGACATCCTGTAGCTATGCTAATCTCAAAGAACTTTGTAATTGCCTAATCAATAAGAATAATCTTTATATATTTATACAGCACTTTAGATTAGCAAAAGATAAACACAGCCAAGCTGCAAATTAACAAGTTTTGTTGTGCTAATGCTAAATATTCAGTGCATTCGCTTATTAGCTTATTAGCTTTTCACAGTTATAACCAGTTTTGCAGTGAAGTTACTGTATCGTTAATATCATTAGTGGTTATGCTGTTTACCCAATTAGTTATTATAATATTTATTTACATAGCGCCTTTCTTTAATTAGAAAATACAATTAGCAAAGCTAGCTACCATTTTTATCAGAATGTATAAAACAGCACAGTTATGAAACACACAGTACAAAGTAAAAGAGGCTTGCTAAACTTAGTATTATGCTAGACTGAACAAATATGTTTTAATCTGGATTTATAAACATCACTCATTGCTAATGTTTTCTGTGATGGTTTGAGAGTTTTTGTTCCAGAGTTTGGGAACCAAACTCCTCCAGTGTTTTAATTTCTTTTTAGTTCTCACATCGCAGAATGTTTACAAAGCTCTCTCTCTCTCTCTCTCTCTCTCTCTCTCTCTCTCTCTCTCTCCTTTTTCTATCACTGTAACCCCTTCTGTGGATGCTGGTTTATCTAAAGGTTATTATCTGGTGAAGATGCTCTTTTTTCTGGTTTTATTTTTTCAGTGTTGGTTTTGTTCTCTTTATCTCAACCTCCTCTTTCTTTCTCTCCCTCTTTCTTCTCTCTCTCTTTCTTATTTATCTCTACTTATCTTTTTCCTCTTTTTCTCTATCTCACTTTCTTTTCCCTGTTTTTCTTTCTTTGTTTTTCCTCCTCCTTTTCCTTCTCTTTTTTTATCTTTACTTCGTTCTCTTCTCTTTCACTTTCACTCTTTCTGTTCCCTCCTTTTCTTTCTTTCTTTCTTTCTTTCTTTCTTTCTTTCTTTCTCTCTTTTTATCTTTCTTTCTTTTGTTCTTTCTCTCTTTCTTTCTACTTTATTTCTACTTCTTTTTCCTCTCGTTTTTCTTTCTTTTTCTCTTTTTCTCACTTTTTATCTTTACTCTTCTCCTTTCTTTCTCACTTTTTTATGTCTTTCTTTCTTTCTTTCTTTCTTTCTTTCTTTCTTTCTCTTTCTTTCTTTCTACCTCTCTACTTTTTGTTTTCCCCCTCTCCCCCTACTGTCTCTCTATTTTATCTTCTTCTTCTCCTTCCTCTTCTTTCCTTTCCACTTCTCTTTCTTCTCTTTCTTGCTTCCTTCCTTTCTTTCTTTCTTTCTTTCTTTCTTTCTTTCTTTCTTTCTTTCTTTCTCTCTACCTCTCCCTCCTTCTCTGTCTCTGTTTTCTCTTCGTTTTTTTATCTCTCTCTTTTTTCCCTCTCTCTGAGATGCTGTAGTTCAGTGCAGGTGTTCAGAGGAGATGAAAGTCGAGATGTTTTGCTTTTGAGCTGCTGGTGCGACAGTTTAGTGTGAGACAGAAGCTGAAGCTGCTCTCACCGCCCTGCCCTTCAACACAAAGACCACCACACTGCAGAGAGGGGGGGAGAGAGAGAGAGAGAGAGAGAGAGAGAGAGAGAGAGAGAGAGAGCATGCTGAGAAACACTACAATTAGCATCCAAATCCTGCCAACTTCTAATCTGATCTGACTGCAAACAAACAAACAAACAAACAAACAGACAGACAGACTGAAGAGTGTTCAGACTCACAGCTCAGCCGGAGTTCAGCTCAGAGAGAAATCAGAGAAACTGAGAGAAGATCAGAAGTCAGGTGTGGAAGAGAGAAGTGTTATCCCTCCATCAGTTAGTCTTTCTGTCTTTCTCTTTCTTTCTCTCTCTCTCTCTCTCTCTCGCTCTCTCTCAGTTTAATCCGTGCAGCAGTAAAATCCATAAAACAGTGTTAATCCGACTGCAGCCTCCAGAGAACAAGTGTAATAACAGTGTAATAACACAGGTGAGGGAGTGAACCCCCCGCCGTCTGCTCTCCTCCCTCGCCCGTCTGAGTGTGTGTGAAGCTGAGCACGCTACTGCAGAGCACACACACATACACACACACACAGATGGGCGAGCAAGTCTCCTCCCTCTACTGAACACTCACAATACACCACATAATCACATCCTCTCTCTCTCTCCCTCTGTCTCTCTGTTTCCTTTTCTCTCTCTCTCCTGTTTCCTTCTCTCTTTCTTTATTTTTATGCATTCTACCTTTCCTTCATTCTTTCTCTCTCTCCTCTTTCCCACTCTCCTTTCTTACTTTCTCTCACTGCAGGGTGTGGTGGTGGTCCTCATTTTCTCCCAACACCTTCTTATCTATATACATCCCTCTCTGCCTGTCTCTCTCTCACTCTCTCTCTCTCTCTCTCTCTCTCTTTACTACACATACACAAATGATATTTCAGTGTATAAATATAAAGAGTGATTAATGTGATTAGGGCTTTAATTCTGATGCACTCAGTGTTTCTGTAAACAGTGTGAGCTCTACAGGATACAATGTGATCCAATCACTGCACTACAGAGAGAGAGAGAGAGAGAGAGAGAGAGAGAGAAGAAAGAAGAGAAAAGAGAAGAGAGAAGAAAAGAAAGAGGAGAGAAAAGGAGAGAGAGAAGAAGGGAAAGAGGAGAGACAAGGAGAGAGAGAACAAGGGAAAGAAGAGAGACAAGGGAGAAGAAAGGAAAAATGAGAGAAGAGAGAGTTGAAAGGGAAGATGAGAGAAGAAATAAAACAGGCAGGAAAGAGGAGAGAAAAAATAGAAAGGAAATAGGAGAGAGAGAAAAGATGAGAGAGAAGAAAGGAAAGAGGAGAAAGAAAAGATGAGAGAGATAGAAGAAAGAAGAGAGAAAGGAAGGAACAGAGAGAGAGAGCCAAAAGGAAAGCTGAAAAAGAGATGAGAAAGAAGAAAGGAAAGAGGAGACAGAGGGGAAAGGAGAGAGAGAGAGAGAAAAGAGGAGAGAGGGAAGAAAGGAAAGAGAAGGGTACGAAAGAGAAAGAGGTGTATGCGGATAACAGGTGTGAGACTGGGATGAAAACTGACAAAGTGCCAACACACATAATGTAATTTGTGTGCGTGTGTGTAGAAACTGAGCAGTGGTCCGGATGGGGGGTGTTCTGGTGATACAGGGAGATTTACTGTTCTCTCTCTCTCTCAGAGCTGAACAAGGAAATGAGTGTGTGGTGTGTGTGCATATGTGTGTGTGTGTGGGTGTGTGTGTGTGTGTGTGTGTGTGTGTGTAGAGGACAGAAGAAGGTGAGAACAGTGTGAAGAATTTTGCATGCACACACACACACACACACACACACACACACACACACGCACACACACACACACAGCAATCTGGGGAAGCTAAGATGGACTCTAAAGAGGGGGAGCTGAATCTGCAGAGGAAGCTGGGACAGAGAAGAACCC